TTTCTCCGATGTTTAAAGCTATAACATTATTTGATTGAACTATAACTGGGTAATTTTTGTTTGTATATGTTCTGCTATAGATTAATTTTCTACTTTATTAATTCTTTATTTTCCTGTAATCTGCACTTTAAGGTCCCCTGGTGGGAAAACAGTAGGTGTATGGCCTTACAATGCTAAAATCTGAGGTTCGATTTCTTGCACGAGCATAGCAGATTACCTAATGTAGCTGTTCTGTAAAATACAAACAAACAAAGTATAATTTAAGTTCCATTTAATTTGACTAATATAAATACTGTTGACATTCTATTTTATACATACCAGTTGGATTTTTTATCTGTTTATTTTATCTTTGGTGTTCTTCAACATTTGCTTTTTTTTATTTTATATATGTGTGTGTGTGTGTACTGTATGAGGTTTAACTATTGGTTGATTTATTCACTCTGTAAAATTATTTAGCTAGTGTTATATGATATAGAATATACACCGTGTGATCGACAATCAGCTAGTGCAAATAGTGTTTGTCTAACCTTTTTTGTTGTTGTTCGTTAGCCATTTTAATAAAAATCTTTATCACGTAAAACTTTCAGCCAATTTAGGTACTAAAATATCATTAGTCCGGAAATTTTTCTCGAAGATTCACAACAAAGATTTCACGTCTTACATCTAAATTTTACCGTAAGGTTTCTCGTTTCAAAGTTTAAAGTGAATCTTTCTAATATAAAAGTTTCTCGTATCATACTTTTACCTCTCATAGATACACTGCACGTTTTATCAGAAACTAAAACTAGAACATACGTTTTCCTCTGAAAGTCTGGTACTGAGACTTTCTCGTATCACACATATTTATGCATCACGAAGATCTTATGACTGAGAGTACATGACCACAACAACTCTTTTCAATGATAAAGTTTATTTCTCATATAAGTGTTTCAACTTTTCAAAACAAACTGTAATTTTACATCTGTACGATTAGCTTTCATAAGGAGGTTATAATTATTCACTTAAGCTTTACTCTTTTATAACTAATTCCTTATTAATATACTGTAAAGGTTTTGATTTCTTCTTTGAGCTTTTTAAAATTTCTAGTTAATATTTTTTTTTCCTATTCGTACAATAACGTTTGAACGTTAGAATATATATTTACACACACACATATATATATATATATATACATCATCATTAAACACGTATGGATGACTACTCCTTTTTCTTACATTAACGAATCAGCAAACGCGAAATTGTCTTCCTCCTGAACATTTGCCAGAGAATCATTTTAAGTTGTCTTTAATACTTGGTACAGAATTAGTAGACTTAAGGTTATTTATATAGTCCAATCTTATGTTTTATATATATTTTATCTCTGATATTCCCCAACATTCCCTTTATCTTATTCATAAGTTTAAACAAAGGACAAACGTTTTGTTGTTTTGTTACGACAGCGGAAGTCACAT